CCAGGCTTGTGAATTCTAAATGATACCATTTTGGACTTGCTCTCCCAGTGTACAGGACAACCTGCTCTCTGTCATTGCACAACCGCAGTTGATGGACATCGGAACTCCTGGCCCGCTGCCCTACCCACTAAGGGGTGGCTTCTCACCTGACCTCCGCCTGACACAGGAAGAGAAACAAGAGCAATGGGCATAGAATCTCTAACAGGCTGAGAACATATTCTAAGTGACTTATAAATATACTCCCATGACTATGGGAGTCATATTAGACTCCCTAAATATGACTATTTTCCTTTTCAGCCTTTATTATCCTTTTCTGTTTTATTTCTCTTGCATAGTAATTTATAAATATTGCTTCTTAAGCTACCCTGAGAAAATTAAGCTTTTTGTTGTTGTTGTTCAATGGTGTTATTACTTCAGTGACCTAATGAGGCTCCATGTCCTCTCAAGTCTTGGTGACTGGTTTTGCCTTTCACTTTGCCTAGAGGTATGTACTTCTGTACAGAAGAACACCCCAGCCTGTGCTTTCCCCAAGGGCGTCTCATTTGTCTTCATCTTAATCAGAGCTTCTCTTTAGCACTTGTCCCACCTGGAGTTCACCTGCAGAGGACGCTGCTTCCTTCACCTAATCCCGCCTTCCCGAACCTCTGGCTGGGCTCAGTGGGTGCTGAATACTGCCACCGGCTCCTGCAGGCAGTAGGACCTGCTGCCCAGTTGGGACAGCTCTCTCTGATGTTGGAAGGAAAGCTTGCTTTTCATGAAGGAAGCTTGTTCTTCCAGTTGGCAAACTTGGGATTAGTGGAAATTTAGAGCCCCAGACCCTCTAAGTATTTTGAAACAAATCTTCAGAGAAGTGACTGGAGACAACTAGGTGGGGTTACACACTCATTTCTTTTCTCAGCAAACATTTACTGAGTAACTGTTTTGTCTCGAAGGTACAGAAATTAGAAAGAAAACTGGATTCCAAGCTAATAGGAGCTTACAGTCTATTGAGAGAAAGAGACATAAGGTATAATGATGTCAGGGATGAGAATAAATGCTGTGGGGACAGAAAAGGGGGCGCAATCACACAGACACTAACTCCTGTACGCCATCCTGGGCTCTGGACAGGAAGATAAGTTCGCAGGCTCAGTACTGGCTGGGGCTGGGAAAGAAGCCCTGCTGGGCCACGCACTGGCCAGAAGACTCTAGGCAAGTTACAGCAGTTCTCTAAAGCAGCCCCGTGGCAGGAGTACTGGGGAGATCAAATGAGAATCAATGCAAAGTGCTCGGCAAAACGTCTGACACAAAGTAGGCAATGCAACATCGTTTCCCCTCTCTTTGGATTCCTCTTAGGCTGTTCTCTGCAAACATTACCATTTGTCATATCTGGATCCTAAATCCAGCCTCCCCAAATATCTTCCTTACAATTGAAACTTCTGGACCCTCCAAGGGCTTGCCTTTGTGACCTATCACAATATACAGTGTACCTTTGGGCTACCTGAAACACTCCCATTTTTCTTCTACTTTTTCTTCCCCTCCTTTCCATCATCCTCTCCATCTCCTTGTTTCTTATTTGCTCTCATATGACTTTTCCTCCTGAAACACCAAGCCCCCATTTTGTGATCTTTGATGCTGTTTTCTGGGTGATGTTCTGAAGGATTGCCTGTTGGCCTGGCCCCTGATCCTGGTCATTCTTTCTGCACAGAGCTCGCTCCATCCAAACACATCACGGTCTCAGGAATTTGGCCCATGTACCAGCATGTGCTCCCTTCGAATGACACTTGATTGGTGTCTCATTATGCAGGTATTTTATGGCTAAAGATGTGAGTAACAGAAACTCCCTTGTTTTGAGGGCCAGAGAGGTCTCCATTCAAATGTAAAGGAAGAGAACTTGGGGTGAGCAAGAGGACAACAAAGCATGACACCAGCCCCCCTAGAGTGTGAGCCAACGAGAGAAAAGCCTTGCAGGGCACAGATGAAACAATGATGGGGGCTTCTAGAAGCTTCTGAGTCTAGAGTTCTACTAAAGATCCGGGAGTTTGTCATACCTCATCCATTCTGTCAGAAAGCCCAAAGAAATGTCTGCCGTGGTGTTGGAAATTTAGATTTTGGATTTCCTTTTTAATTATTAGAACTCGAGTTACCACCTTACTCATAATCAAACTGGACTGTACTCTGTCACCTACCCTGTCTGTAGATTTTGTGTGATTCTTTCCACCTTTCACCTAGAAGACAGGTTCTGAGCAAAATCAAACCACTGAGGTGCTTTCTCACATGAGTCTATTACTATAACTTTTACAGACCACAGAGGAGGAACATACACATTCAATGAATAGAAAATATTTATTATACAGCATTGTCAAGGTTATTTGACAAAAGGCAGTAACAAGCCAAACAAAAACACGTTTACAAGAAGCTGAACAACTTGTACAAAGTACACACACTAAGGAAAAGAGGTTCTGCCCTTTCGGTGCCGGGTCTGCATGTGTCCATTTCCAATTTTGAACATTTACAATAGAAGACCTAATATTCTATTGTGTTCAGGAAAACTTATAATCACAGTTCAGAGCAGTAATCTGATCACTGATGAATGTGTTCACCAAATGTCTTGCAAACCTCAGAACAAAGTGACAATGTATTATTGGAACAGTAGAAGCAGTACTTAAAGAAAAACTGAATGCGCAAGTCCTGTGACACTAAGGACGCATGTTAGTGGCCTGAAGATAAAAGGCCACGTTTCACTAATGCCAGAGAGCGCGCCTTCCCTTGCCGGGGGCCAGTCAGCAGGCCACCTGGGGGCAGAGGAACCATCATCTTTCTCATTCTGCTTCATTACAGTGAAAATCTGGAACTGAAATCCATGCTTCCATCATGAAGTCTTTCTACCAAAGGTGTTATAAAATAATTATTTAGAAGAAAGGCAGTCCATTCTTGAAGTGGAACTGACTAAACTTGGCAGTAGAATGTGGGGAAGACAGGAGAAGCGTGAGCCTCAAACGCTGTAGTGGATGTTAAATTCTGAACAAGTGATGCAGGATGTATTTAGCAATTCTCACATGAGTCTGGGCTGAGGAATCAGCAGCTTCGACAGAAAGAGAGCGTATTAAAATATGACCGCAAGGAAGGCATAAACAGAGATATTTTAGGGGGAAAGATTCATTCTACAAATAATAGAAATCAAAACAGCAAGATAAAGTTCTTTATTTGGGGCAAAAAGGGGAAGGAAAAAATGAAACCATTGGATTGTACATGCATGGATATTACACACAGCAAATAACAAAAATGCAAAGGAAATTTATGACAGTAGGAATATAAGAATAAGAATACACTGAAATAAAAAATAAATGAAAGCAAAAATGGATGAATAAATAAGTTAAAAATTATGATCAGTCTTAGAAGTTATTATATGCTTTAAGCACATAGAGCTCAAGTAGCTGTGGAAAATCTTTTAAAAAAACTCTAAAATATCCTGAAATAATCTAAATACTGTCATTTCCATCCTACGTTTTAATAATGACATGTGCAAGTTTATAAAACATACCTTTTTATTGTTGTTACCCACAGTTCTTGTAAACTTTCAATAATAACAAATTTTCAAACCACTTCATTAATAACATATTTCCCCATCATAAAATATCTGAAAAATAAGTTTCCTCTTAGAAGAGGAAGGACTGTCTGAGTAGCATATGAAAAACATTGGACCACAGCACTCAAACCCTCAAAGAAGAGTTCCTGTAGATATTGGTGACGATGGCATATAAAACGTTATCGGAACACAAAAATATCTATGCTGTATCTGAAAGACACTGTTCTAGTCGTAGGTAGGTAGGCATTACATTGCACAAATTTTATTATCACGTGTATACGAGGACACAAGAACACATTCACTTTATAGTTACAGGGACTTCTGGGACAATATGGAAGAATTCTTTGTCATTAAACATTTTAATTTGCCAGTATTAGTTGTTATGAGTACACCATTAAATTCAAAGATGGACTTGTTTCTTTAGTACATAGGAGAACCCTTGGCACCAAATACACATACTGCATCTTAGAAGTTCAACTGATAATATTATTTGCTACAGTAAATGGAAGGTAACACTTTCACCACATGGTTGGTTCTCTGTAACTGAAGGGCAAAGGAGAGCCCCTTGGCACAAACACAAGTTAATCCACGAAAGATCTCCAGCCACTTTAAAACAATCTCTTGTCCTGGCCTTTCCCCCAAATCATCAATAAGCAAGTATCAGATATGGGAAGGTGATCGTGTGGATTTTGTTCAAAGCCCCAAGCTGATGTACTTATTGTCCTGCTTCTCACTGCGTCCTTTTCTAGCACTCCGGATGTAGCACTTTCCGGTGATGATTTTGCGCATATTTCTGTTTTCCCAAATAGAGGGAAGTCACGGAGCAGCAGGGCAGCCGTGCGCGCCCTTCTCGAAGTGAGACAGCAGGGTGGTGGGGCACCAGGTGCAGTGGGTGCCAGGAGACGCCCCTTTCCGGGCCAGTTCCGGAGTCTCCAGAAGACCAGGAGTCTGTGGTCCCATCATGGGTTGTCTGGGAGGTCCCCTGCTTGCCCCTCCTTCGCCCACCTGCTCTGCCTGGCTCCAGCAGGCTCACCTGGAGTACCAGAAATACCATGAGGTGAACTCATGGTTACACTGGGCCGCCCTCAAGTGCCGCCCTCTTCCAAACGGGCCAAGCGTATGTGGGCTTGCATGTCTGTGCACAGTGGTCCAAACCGGGGAGATGGGGTTTGTCCATGTTATTGTACTGATTTACTTTTGTGATAAAAGTTACATACTACATGGGGTTGTGCTTTGTCAGAATTCCCTTTCTTCCCAGAAAAGGCTTGGAATAATTCAAGAATCCGAATCCCCGACAGGATCGGCGGCAGCAGCAGCCTTCTCTCCCCCTTCTGGCCGCGCCCCCGGCTCCCAGGCTTCCCCCAGCTTTCTGCACCTCCCCGGAGGCGCCGGTGCTCGCCCACTTCTTCTGCTTTGCCTGCGGACACCTCCTCCCCTACAGGGTGGAGGAGCTTTGCTTGTAGTCCCTCAGAATGACCGAGGCGTAGGTCACGTTGGGAGGGGTGCACAGCACCGACTCGGACGCGGGGGAGCTGGGCGCCGAGCTGCCCGAGGCCACGGAGTCGCGGAAAGGCGAGGGGGGCGTCAGGGCGGGCGAATCCTCTGGGGTGGGTTTGCTGGCGGCCGCCGCTGGGGGGTCCTCCTCCTCCTCTTCCAGCTCATCTTCCTCCGTGTTCCCTTCCCGCTCGTACAAGTACTCCTGCAGGAGCTTAAACCTCTCGCTGTCGTCCTCCTCCTCGTCCTCGTCCTCGCCGGCGGGGGAGGCGGGCTCCTCCCCGAAGGCGCTCAGCTGCAGCGGCAGCATTTGCAGGTGCTGCGGGGGCGCCGGGGGCGGGTACAGGGACCGCACCCCGTTCCCCGGGCCCCCGGGCACGGCGAGCACAGCGTTGAAATCCGGGATCCCGGTGCTGAAATTGTTGACCACTCCCTGGAGCTGGTCCATGAAGGATTTCTGCGGCTGCGGCGGCTGCGGCGGCGGCTGCTGAGGCTGCGGCTGCTGGAGGGACGGGGGCAAGCCCTTGGGGATGGCCGTGTCGGCCAGAAACAGGGGGGTCTCCTCCGCTGTCAGGTGGGGCAGCAGAGGCGGGGTGCTCACCGTTGGCACGTGTCGGTGCACCAGCATAGAAGGACTGCCCGGAGGGCTGAAGCCACCAGGCCGGGCGTCCTCCTCCTCCACGTTGTAAAGGGTCTTGGTGCTGGTGTCTGAAAAGGTCAGGCTTTTGCCAGAGCCTTGGTGGCTTTTAGTGAGGGGCTTGATGACGGCTGTTTGGTTGCAGGCCGTCTCATTGGTCTTCACGTGCACAGAGAGGCGGTGCCACATGTGCTGTCCCTTGGGCACCTGTCTTCCACCTGGTTCAGACCATGACACAGACTTGCCATTAGAACTATGAATAAAATAGAGATGGATTTATTTGCAGATATATCATGCACACGGGAGAGAATACATATACACAATCATTTCTGCAAGCTCAGCTCAATGCAAGGTGACTTAACTCCCCCACTGGCTTCCACACCCCCAAACTCCCCTCATGACAGATTAAATGTTAAAAGTCACCATGGCCACTGTTTGCTTCCAAAACTGCAGTCAGTTAGTGGTTCCACCTGCTCCAAGACAAGGCAGGAAATTTTGACCCTGAGAAAAATTATAGGGGAGAAATGCCAGCCTGTTGTAGAAGCAGCCTTTTTTTTTTCCTTTTAGGTATGAGTTTGCACACAGTTGTTACACAATCTCTCACACACAGAAACGTACACATGTGCATTGTATGGCAATGATAAAATTATGGCTCAGTAGAAGACTTCGAAAGATTCCGAAACTGATGGGAGAAACGAATGAATAAAAGCTTGGTTACACACGAATAACGGAACACAGTGACCACAGGTCTTGCCTCCCTTCCTTCTCAGTCCCTGGAACAAATTAAACCCCACGGGTAAAGCTACTGTGGTGGTCCTGTGCTCTAGAACATGCATCCTCCCGTTGCCCATGCCGACGTGCAGGCACGTCCCGTTACCAGAGCGGCGCACTCACACGTGCCACCTGTATGCAAGAGAAACGAGCAGATGACAGAAAACCCCAGATTCCACTTAAGTGTTTGGTGACTTTTGATTTACTTTTTATTTCCAAGCATTGCCCCTGACACATGCAAAGGATCACCACCCACATAAGGCCCAGATTCACCGCTGCTGGTGTGAGATTTTCACACTGGGGACTCTTAAGCAGGTGTGTTGGAAACGGGTTGGAACTGAGATGGCCAGGGAAATACAGAGGCCTGGATCCTGCTTCAGTCCTCTGGCACAGTTTGATACAAATGAGACAAAATTAAGATTCAGACAAAGCAGAACTTACTGGGACAAAGGCCCCTCCCTGGCCTTTTTCTCACTGAAACTTGCTGAAGGAAAATCCTTATAGACTCCCCTCTTCTTGGGACCCTCATAAAGCCAACTGAAGGGAAGGAGGAGAACCAGTGAGCTTTACTGTGGGCGCCCACTACGAGTTCTCTTCACATGTTCTAATAGCTCTGGGTTTACTGTTGGGTGCTTAGCTTATTCTCTGCAAAACTGCTTAGCAGATGGTGGCAGCTTACCATAGCGTACTATTAATACCAACAGTGTTAGTACTGACATCGGGAAATATTTTCTCTTCTGTTGTTTTAGGAGTACTTTTCCTACACTCATGGTAACAAGAAAGTAGCACAATAATAACACACTTGAGACATTAAAAGGAATAGGTAAAAGGAATATTTTAGATGGAAGTGTAAACGATAGATGATTCCATATTACAGTCTTTTGTTTGAAAAAAGTAGGAAATGATCAATAGTTACTATAATGGCTTATGTAATCATTTTGAAAATAGAGGAACGAGTATTTAAAAAGTATATGTGAATGTCACATCGATGATGAAGGTAGCATTTCTACATTTTATATTTTATTTAAAAATCGAAGTGAGCCAAATAAGTACACATTCTTAGAAAAATTCTGATATCTACTATAGAAATTCTGGATCTAAAGGTTCTAGAATAGATATAATAGCTAAAATTTTGATCTCATTTTTAAGAGGAGGGTCGTTTCTCCATCCCCGTGGTTATCTATGCTGTTTTTCATTGTCTGAGAAAAAGAATCTTATCTCCACACTAGGATATAAAAATCAATATTTCTCTTAAGTATATGCTTAATATATTCCCTGAGAATGTGTAAGTGCCCGTAAATGCAAAATGAACGACTCATCAATTCCCATACTATCTTGTTAGGATAGCTGACTGCCTTCCCAGTTGAGCGAACTGGAGAACGGATGGTGGTGTTCCTGGCAAGAACAGGCGGCCACCCAGCCAGCCAAGGACAAGGCCAGGATCCCATTTGTTCTCTGAGTCAGAACCTCTAGGCAAGTTCACCTCCCACTTTCACTTTTCTCAGTCCTCGCTGCCCCCCCATGCTACTCACACTGTTCCTCTCTATGTGCAGTCAGTGTGCATCTTCTGGAAAGCATAAAACTTTATATTTAGCCCTGGCTGGCATAGCTCAGTGGATTGAGCATGGGCCTGAGAACCAAAGGATCGCAGTTCGATTCCCAGTCAGGGTACATGCCTGGGTTGCAGGCCAGTTCCCAGCAGGGGACACATGAGAAGCAACCACGCATTGATGTTTCTCTCCCACTCTCCTTCCCTTCCCCTCTCTAAAGATAAATAAATAAAATCTTTTAAAAAACTTTATATTTGCCTATTGTCTTGCTTAAATATGCTTCATTTCATGTTTCATCCGAACTCGATGAGTTGCATTCTTTTTCAACTGCAGTAGGAACACTTTTCTCCTCCGAATGCCTGCCTCTCAATGCACACTTAGAAAATCTGTAAGCTAAGAAGGAGCCTTGTGTCTTCATTTAGATATGTGTGTGCATGTTACAGAAGACAAAAGCACTCACTTGAAAAGATACACGCACCGCCATGTTCATTGTGGCATTACTGGCAACAGCCAAGATGGGAAAGCAACCCGGATGTCTACCAGGAGGTGAATAATAGATAAAGAAGATGCAGAATAGACACAATGGGACATTATTCAGCAATAAAAAAAAAAGTATGACATCTTGCCACTTGTGACAACATGAATGAACCTGGAGGGGTTTCAGTAAGATAAATAAGTCAGAAAAAGATAAATATTGTGTGATCTCACTTGTAGTGTGGAATCTAAAACAAACACACAAACAAACCAACAAACAAAGTAGAAACAGACACACAAGAGTACAAAACAAGCTGATAGTTGCCAAAGGGTAGGGAGGCAGGAGAACAGGAATAAAAAACCTGCAAAAAAACAAAGGCTTTGAGGAAAATAAATAGATTAAAGACAAACAAACAAACAAATACAGGCACATCCCTTGAGAGCAAGGCTTCGACTCCAACCAGCAGGCTCACCAACCCCGATAAAATATCGCCCCGACCTCCACGGGCACCAACAAAAAGGCGTCCTTGTGTGCCTGGGACATGACTCGCTCACACAGGTTGTTTTCCTCATTGCTCGAGAGTTCCATGTGGGCCTCTTTTAAAATCACACACTTTCGTGTGTTAAAGGTATCATCCACCGTCTTCCAGACAGATACAATCGCAATTTAGTTCTGCTTTCACTTGATACCATTTTTATTATTCTGGTGGGAGATTTCCCCCCGTTGGTCAAAATTCCCAGCTTTCTTCCCTTCCGAGTTTTGCTCCCTATTTGCTGTCCAGTACTGTTTAATTAGCAAACAGCTCTAATGCCCTGGGGCATTTATCAGATTAAGAAAATTAGATTAAAATTTTTTCCAGGACAAAATAAATTGCTTTTAAAATCCAAAGACAATGTTGAAAATGTGTCATCTCGGAGAAAGGGCAGCACAAAATATAAACTTTGGTCCTTGGATTGGTTATTTTTATCCCATGGTCCATAGACACCTTGAATTGTCCATGAATGTACCTGTGGGACCAGAGGCATGGACACGTGGAACAGACCAATAGGTCTCAGAGGGGAGGGGGACTGGAAGAGATTGGCCAAAGAACCTAGATGCATAGCCCATGGACACAGTGGGATGAAGGTGGGGTCGGGGGTGGGCAGCCTAGTGAAGGGATGGGAGGGGTCTGGAAGGGGAAAATGGGAGACATCTGTAATAGTGTCAACAACAAAAAATAAAATAATAAAAACCTTATAAAGAAGATATCTGTGGATCAAGAAAAAAAGTATTGTTTTCAGCCTGAATCAATAGCTTGTTTTTGTAGATTAGGCACTGTAATTTTTAAGTGCATTTCCACACTCTTATGATAAAATGTACTGTTAGATACAAGTGTAACTAAATTCTGAGGATTTTTTTTTGCATTTTGTGTTTGAGTGGGGCCATAGCTAACGATACAATTAATACCAAAGTTGGGGTGAAGGGTTAATAATCATTTTGGTGTATAAAGCAATTATCTTATTTGAAAAGGTTGGAAAGCCACTGCTGTGATATCAAGGGGAGAAAATGTATAAAATGTAGGGCAGCAATAACGAATAACTGCACTATAAAAATAAAATATTACTATGAAGTAAGACTTTGATTTGATTTCCAGGTAACTTCAATACCTTGTGTTTCAGCCACCAACTTCTTCCATTATTTGACTTTACTCAGTTTCTTGATCTTGGGAAAAGCATCCTGGCTCAGGGTGCTTTTCACAGATCCACATACTTCAAACAGAGCCTCCCATCCTTCTTGTTCTAACTTCAAAGGACAAATATCGTGCCTCAACTACTCTCATATTTGAATATTAACTGCAGCAGCATTTGGCATTAATTACCTTGGGCGGCTTCATATTTTTATTGCTACTCAAGTTAGTAGAGGAAAACCCCAGTCAAGCCTGAGAGGAAGGAGGAGAATTACTCCCTGACACGTGCAGGGCTAAGCAGGCCTGGGGCTGCGGTTTCAGCTACAACAGGCTGGGGGCCTTACTTCGGTTTCCCGTTCATTAGATAAGTATTACAATCCCCCCAAACAGAAAACACAATATTTACAGCGCTGTAGAGAAGAGATGGAAGTGGGTGGTGTAAACAGATTAGTGTATCTCTGGCGTTCAGAGTGATACTGTTTCGTTTTGTTTCAGTAAGTACTAGTTACATCTGCTGAGTACTGCTGCTCTCGCTCCAGAAAGGTCTAAAACAGGAATAACAGTGGGTGGGTGTTTGCGATCAGGAGGAAAGCATCCTGAACAAGCTGCCTGAGGGGGAAGCTCACGCAACACCTGCCTCCCTTCTGTCCGATGCAAGTCTTTGCCACTAGGCTTAATAGCTTCCCGACAGACAGTAGGATGGCATCCAGAGAGCCCACAGACAAGGAAAGGCATTCCCACAAGGAGGGAAGAAGCTAACCGAGGAGGGTAGCATTTGCTTCCTCTGAAAA